ACAGTTTTACCACAAAGCATGACTTTCTTGACCTTAAAATTTATGTTTTAAATTCATTAACGACATATTTGGATTTCATGTCACAACTCAAATGGGACCAAAAGATAATATTTCTCTCCTTATTCACTGCCATTCATATTTTTTCCAATCTAAGGTCTCATGAGCTTCACCGGAAGGGGCGTGACTTCGGCACACTATATCTGTGATCAAAATAGCTTCTATAGGGACGTCGGTGGCTTAGTTGAAAGAGCAGGCGCCCCATGTACAAGGCTGTTGCCACAGTGGGAAAAAATTAAAAAAAACAATAGCTTCTATAAAGTGTGTTATCGCTCTTATCATGACATAAGACAATAAAAAAGAGAAAAAATAAGATAAGGTAGCTTTTGTGATACTGTCTACTGACTCTTTTCTTAGAACTCTTCGCTGGTGCTTTGTTGTAATTTGCTCCGTACAATGAAGTGATCCATTGTCTCACTAATGTTTTTTTCCTTTAAAATGTCATCACCCCTCACACTGGCTGCCAATCAGGGATTTTGATGTGTCACACACGTAGAATTCCTATGCAGGAAGGCCAACAAATAGGTTTCCCATGAAGGTTTTTTAAATTAAAGTACATTTTTCAGCTAGAGTTTGCCTCTTTATTAGGAAATGGGTGCACGCAACATACTGATACAGTCATTTCATAAATGTTTGTATCTGCCCAGTTGAATATTTCTATAACGATATCACAAAATTCCATGGCACACCATTTGAGAACCACTGTTCTGGCATATAGCCACGGTGTACTCATGAAGCAAGTGTGCAGTGTTTGCTTAAAGCTCATCAGCATGGACAGGATTCTGTGTATCAAAGATGCAGCAGCAGACTTTCTGCTTCCTTTGACAAGTTGCAGTCACCTATGTCACAGGTGACCTCGCTACAACTCTATTGAAGTCTTACTAGGACAAGGGGAGGTTGTCCATCTCGGGCAGAGACTCTGTTAAAGGTTGACTGTACCTGCTTGCAAGTGTGATAATAAAAATCAGACAGACACTCTTTGTTTGTGAGCCTTTATTACAGAAATGTCCACCACAGTGTACCTGTAACCAAAACGTCTGTTTTTGTAGATTCCTGCACAAACATCCAGAGGATCCGTCTGAAGTGCCCAATGGCTTCCTGAGTGACATCAATCCTGTGAGTTTTAACTGCACCCCTGTGACAGAAGTCCTGTTTACATCAGCTGAGACATTTCAGCAGGCGTAGTGATTGTTAAACATGTTTCCTCCTTTTTGTTGTTTAGAATTCCCTGCATGTGATCAGCAGTGCCTTAGTGGATACCTCAGTGAAGGGAGCAAAAGTTTTTGACAAATTCCAGTTTGAGAGAGTCGGCTACTTCTCCGTGGACCCCGACAGCACCGCAGATAAGGTACAGCAAGACCAAATAACTCAGGAACACTTGTGTTTTATTTTAAGCTGATTCGAGAAATGATTTGTATATTGATTTGTAACTGTAATCTTTCCTTCCCCGCAGCTCATCTTCAACAGAACAGTCACCCTCAAAGAAGACCCAGGAAAGATCTGATTGACTTGAGGTCAAGCTGCACTTCCTGCTTCCCAAGAGCCCACAGAAACATGTCCAAATTTTTGTATCACTTGAAGTGTAATATCAGTGAGGGCACAGACTGCTCATTCTGAGATTGACTCAGAATCAGATACTGTAATAATTACAAGTCCATATTTTTTAACTGCGGTTCTCTTTCACAGATCTGGCTGAAATTGGAAAATATATTTCTATGTCTTAACTGTGAAAACAAAATTACTACAGTATCACTGTGCTCAATCTCAGCCTCAGTCAGCCAGTGCCAGAGTCGTGTCGAGTCTTTTCTAATCTGCTGCATTAATATTCACTTGCAGTGTTTCTTCTTTGTTGAATGTATGCAACTCTGTTTACTGTTCAACAGTGACCTCATGTAAGGTGACTTCACATTGGCTCTCAGCTGGTGTTACACGAAGGAGATGCTCTCAAATGCCATTCATGAATTTCTTACAAAGGTGGTAGATCACTGCCAAACCATCATGTGTGTTTTTTTTAAGACTCAGAGGGGTGTACATGTGTCCTTTTGACAGGAGACAATAAATAATATGAAAAAAATCTGCAATGTCTGTGTTAATAAACTGAAGTTTCTGAGGCTGATGTCAATATTCTATCAGTCATATTTGAGATCATGATATGTTTACTGTCATAATCAAATGTTTGACTTTGTGTATGATGATCATTTGGTAACTATTATTGGTGTCTTCACTTAGTATTAAGTGTAAGGGTGTATACTGTACATGCAGTGTTTGGGAAGCTACTTTGAAAGCATAGCTTCACACTGGAAGAAGTTGAAGTATAGCAAAGCTACCCTCAGGAGAAATCTAGACTTCAAAAAGGTAGTTTCAACTTTTATAAATTATCAAATTGTCAATGTACGTGTGATTAAACAAACAAAAAAAAGTCACATGCCAGCAAAAAATGCCACCTGATAGAGTCTATTGCAAAAAGCGCCCCCTTGATCACAGGTCATACACAAACCAGAAAGATAAAAATCCCCCACTGTTCATGGCAGAGTGAAGGAATGTCCATCAGTCAGACCTGCCTTCCAGAAAGTAGAGTCCAGGTGGAGGTGATTGCACCATGCACGATTAACCAGTCGGTCAGGTAGCTTCTGAAATAGCATGCAACAACTTCTCTGAACCTTTGTTAATAAACAGCAATAACCAAAAGCCTACTTATGATGACTGGTTATGGTCAAAGGGGGTTTAATTACAGTAAAGAAACAATGGTAAAAATAAATAAATAAATTATTACTTTTTTGGCCCAAAACTGTTTATTTCAGTAATTTACTAGGCTACATGAACATCGACAAAAAGGGTTAATTTATAATAAAACTTCAGTTAAAAGCCTAGTCCCAATTAAATATCCCATCCCTTTTTACTAGCCTGGTGTGGCTACACATTTGACAAATAAATGCCTGTCTCAGTTAGATGCTCGATCTGGTTGCCAAGCAGTTATTTTTTTTTCTGTTTTTAAGGGAGTCTTCAGATGTATAAAACTGGGTTGTTGGCTCCCTCAAATTATATGTCCATTCCTCAAATACCCTGTAAGTTATTCATATTCCTGTTGTCCATAAGGGTCCTTAGATCTTGGGGTTGCTGTAGCTCAGAGGTAGAGCGGGTTCAATCCCCAGCTCCTCCAGTCTGCATGTAAAAGCACCCTTGAGCAAGAGACTGAATGATTCCCAATGATAGACTCCATGAATGTGAATGTGTGTGTGAATGGGTGAATGTGACTCGGTAGTGTAAAAAGCGCTTTGACTGCTCGGATGACTAGAAAGGTGCTATAGACAAATGCAGGTCCATTTACCATCAAAAGGGCTGTCTGTTGGAGCTAGATCAGATTAATGATTCATATCTGATACATTACCATGTTTTTATGGTTTAAATACATAATTTGAGCGTATATCCCGATCTTTGCTGAGCAACAGTTTTGTGTGAAAGGAATTAAAGGCCTGTCCCAAATATAGGCCTGTGATTTCAGTGACTTAAGTAAATAATAGCCTGGGCTATTAATTACAGTTTTACGGTAGCTACCTGAATCACTATGAAAACATGAATGTAGCTGAACTACCAGCAAGCTACTGCAAAATGTGGTTTAACTACCAGTTTAATTACATGTAGTCCACTGCTCCCATGACCTCACAAGTACAGAATGTCACTGATGATCTCACTAAGAAAAGTCTAATAACTGTAGGAAACAATAGGATATTGTGGGGGTGTCAAACTCATTTTAGTTCATGACCCACATATAACCCAACTTGATCTAAAGTGGGCCAGACCACTGAAACCACTGCATAGTCACCTATAAATAACAACAGCTCCAATTTTTCCCCTTTCTTTTCCTGTAAACAAACACAAGTACAGTCTGTAAACATTAATCCTTTTATGAAACACATGAACAGCCTGAGATGCAATTTCAATATGTCTCAGTTTTCCCATATTCAGTCAGTCTACCTCTCAGTCATATCACATTTTTTTACACAGATTTTTGCACTGAAGCTGTTGATAGACAATATTTTGCACAATGTTTGATATCTGTACATATTTAGTGTTTTTTTCCCCCCACAGAACTATTTTCTGGTCAGGGCGGAAAAGCCTCTAAAGCAGCTACTCACTATTTAACTTGCTCCTAAAACCTTGCTCCTCTCAGCCTCAGTCATCCAGTGGGCCGAATTGGACCCTTTGGTGGACCAGTTCTGGCCCACATGTCACATGTTTGACACCCCTGCACTAAATTCTAATTCAAGATCTGAGCTGTATCATGTTATAAAAACAGAAACAAACCAAAGCTATTGATCATGTTATTAATGCAATTTGCAACACAAGTTTCTGTGGCTAACTTGGCAGGCTTGTCAAACAACATGATCTTAAATCAGGCTCATATTGACAGAGTAAATAATATTGGAGCAATAAAAAATGATGAAGTGTTTAGTTTTACAATGGAAAAGTAAAGAAAATGCATGGTTTGGGTTTGAAAAAATCGTATAAATGGATATTAATTTGTGAAAGAGAAATGTATACCCCCTCCACTAATTTTACTGATGAGCAAGAGAAAGTGAAAATAATTACTCAAGCAGATATCAGGGCCAAACAGAGCAGTGTGGGGAAATGCAGACCACGCTGTAATGTAGTGCGTGGGAATTAACCCTCAACTGCCCAGAGCTCCTCGAGCACCACCCAAATATTCAGCGCATCTCTTCGGGACCACCTTAAAAGATTCAGAAGTCAGTGAACCACTAGGAGCGTCTGTCTGGCATAACACGGTGTTTAAGGTGGACTGACATCTACCTGATCTTGACGGCTGCTCTCCCCGCGTGTGTCGCCTTTAACGGACCATCCTACGAGTGCGTATTACCGCGAGATCACGCGGGGGAAAAACCGCGATAGCACGCCAGAGTTACAAATCGCCTGCCTATTGGTCTGATGATAGTGTTGTAAGATGGCGCCCAGCGAAATATGAGTGTTTGAGAAAAAGAAAAACTACAGCTGGCCATCTAACGAAAATTAAGAGAAATAAAGAGTACGGCAGCCACACGGAGGCGTGAATAGCACTTCGCTTTCCGGTTTGTTAGAAGAGGAGCGCTGTTTCAAGGGCAGAGAAGCGGTTGTGGGTGGCTCGAGCCTCGGCCCGTTTGAGGAAGAGAGGTAGCTAGCTAACGCGCCTGCTAACGTTAGCCTGCTAGCTTTGAAGATAACAGAAAAAAATGTAGTCGGTGTAACGTTACCGACAGGAGGGCTACCGGTTTTCTGGTGCTCACTGTTATGTACCACCTGCTACGTAGCTGTTGTGTTATTGTTTGTGCACATGGTCGCGTTATTACGCTTTGCTAAACACAGCTGTGGCTGGACATTATTTGCAAACAACACGCGGCTAGTAAACGTTAGCCGTGTACCTGGCTAACCTAGCTTGTTGTGTAATCAGCTGTTAGATTAGCTGCTGTAGAGCCAATGCACCGTGCACACAATCCTAACTTCACTGTGCAAAGCTTGCATGTTTCCATTATGCAGCACTTTCCATCGCTGCTTTGAACACTGACTGCATCGGATTTGGAAAGTGGCCGCGCTTTTGTCCCTGCTCGTACACAGTCAGATAGAGTTAACCCTTTCGTATTACCATCTGTCTGCAGTGCCACTGGACAGTGATCTGTGGGTCAGTTGTAAACATTGTGCAGTCAGCGCAGCGTTTTCGTCTTTTAATTGTCGCTGACTCCTTTCTTTTTTACATGCCGTAATAGTGTTCACATGGTAATTGAAATGTGATAGATCTAGGCCTTTACTAATAGAGATAAAAACTGTAACCAAGTCTGCAACATATATAAAACAATCCTAAATGAATTCTGCCTTTTCCTCAGATCCTCCCCAGAGAAGAAGACCCAGTCAGCAGCAATGAATAACTCCCTGGATGGCACAGGCTCCTATGAGGAGCTTGTGAGGCAGAAAGCTCGGAGCATCCCTCAGCATCGCATGAAGGAGTTCCTGGAGTCCTTGGCCAGCAAAGGCCCAGATGCCTTGCAGGAGTTCAGCCAGCAAGGCGGAGATACTACGACCACTACCACCACTATGGTCTACCAACAAGAGGCTAACTGTATCTACACAGACAGCACAGAGGTGGCAGGATCATTGTTGGAGTTGGCTTGTCCGGTAAATCAGTGCACTAAAATAGTCACAAGGCAGTATGTTAAAGAGCTCTGTTGTTTAAATGAAGCTCTCTGACAGACTCTGTCCTCTGATGCAGGTTCAGGTGCAGGTTCAGCCGCAGCAGCAACAGATACAGGAGTCCACGTCTCAGCAGCAGTCTGTACAACAGAATGCAGAGCAACAGATTGTGCAGGTGTGTCTCTTGTTATTGAACCTTTGTGTTGTGTTTATCACACCTGTTCCCTTTAATCATTGGTTGACTAACTTTGGCACATAATGTCTGTTTTCAGGTGCAGATCCAGGGCCAGCAGCAAGGTCAGATGCTGGGTCAGGTCCTCCAAGTGCCCTCTGGGTCCCATCAACAGCTTCAAGGTGTGACCACTGCACAGTTGATTCAGCCTGGCGAACTCACCGAGGAGCAGCACCAACAGGTACACATAAACACACACAGCCTCAACATCATGGAAGAATTACAATTTTTGTTATTAGTGAGAGTGTGAATTTATTTACCGTTATCATCTCCCTCCCATGTGTTTTAGCTGCAAGCCCAGCTGGTGGCAGCTGTTGCAGGAGGACAGCAGATTCAGATCCAGACAGTGGGGGCTCTCTCTCCCACCCAGCAGCAGGACAATGTTGAGAGGAGGGTGCTGGGCACTACCGTTGCCACATCACAGGGAGCAGGTGTCCTCCAGCCAGCCAAGAAGCGCAAGGTTGATATGCCCATCACTGTGTCCTACGCCTTGCCTGGTCAGCAAGTAGCCACAGTCCTGGCTATCCCTCAGGGACAGGGCCAGCAGCAAAGTTACGTGTCCCTGCGGCCGGACCTCCTAACTGTGGACAGCTCCCACCTTTACAGTGCCACAGGCACTATCACCAGTCCCACAGGGGAGACCTGGACAATCCCAGTCTATTCTGCTCCTGCAGGTTCCGGAGGCCGTGAGCAGGTCACGCACATTGCCATCCCCCAGGAGGCCTATGGGACAGTGCAGGTTGCAGGGACAAACACTACAACAATGACTACAATGCCAACACAAGTTACAGTTGAAAATGACAAGCTTAAAAGTCAAAGTCAAACAGTGCAGGCTGTTTCCAGCATAACAAGCTCCGGGGGAATGGGAGGCCAGGAAGAAGTGGTGCACACACTGGCTGCAAACACACTGTTCCCTGCCCAGCTGATGAACGGAAACATCCACATCCCAGTGGCAGTACAGGGCTACTCCAATGCTACACAGTCACTTATCTGGGATCCACAGCAGCAGGTGCTGCACACACAGGGGCTGTCAGGGCAGGATGCGCAGCAGCTGCAGGTACTAACATAGGTGTTATGTTGCTATGTTGATTTTTCATTTACATACATTAAGATACAAATATAGGCATGTCTTTCTTGTTTGCAGGAGGTAACAGTGTTGGTGTGTTTGTTTCTGTGCAGGGTCAGACAGTGGTAGCAGAGGTAGATGGTCAAGGTCAGCAGCAGGTGCAGGTGCAGGAGCTGCTGCTTCCTGCCACTCTGAAGCCAGAGGAGGGGCTGGAGGTGTGGGGGCTTTGGGCTCAGCGGAAAAACGCAGAGTTGGAAAAATCAGACAAGAATAAACTGGCACCAATTGGCCGTAAGTGCATATACACATTGTTTATTATAGTGTTAAGACAGTAATTAGTTATTGATGCAAATGTTGCCAAATTGCCATTCTCTCTTCTCTTTCACCACAATCACTGGTTTGTGTGTGTGTTTTTTAGGGCGCCAGGCACTGCGTTTCCAGGAGGACTTGGTGTCCTGTGCGGTAGCTGAGCTCTGCATGGGTCTCTCTTTGATGACAACAGAGGCTCGGGGGCTTGAAGGGGAGACTTATGAAGCCGATGTTCTCTACTATGTATTTCTGTGCATACAAAAAGTAAGCTCACTCTGCACACAAACACACCCACACTCCATTCAACATCTGTTCATCTCTTTTGGTACTTCGTTTTGATGTTGAAACAGTGTTTGACCGATATTTCTGTCTCCTTTTTCCTGCAGTATCTGTTTGATAATGGTCGTGTGGACGACGTTTTCTCAGATCAGTACTACACTCGCTTTGCTCACAGTTTGCACCAGATCCTGGAGCCTTGGAGACCATCTATTCATCCGCTAGGTGTGGACAAAGTTTTCCAAATCTTGGGTGTGCATGCAATATGTGTTGATGCTCTCTAATCAACTTATATTACCTCAGATGCAGGGCTCAGTAGTGAATACACAAACCTACCAAGCTAAGGGTGTCACCAAAGTTTCTGCCTCCTCTCATTTAATCAGATATGTATATTTTCATAAATGATACAGCTGCACATTGTCAGTGTAGCCCAGCACAGGCTAATATTAAAATGAAGTTAGGTAGATTGCTTTACAATAAGAACGCATTGCCTGTAGTATCCCATGTTGTTTTCTGTGCTGTACATTGGGAGATAAGTGTCCGTCTTTTTGCCCAAAAATGTAAGCCACAACTTCTGCTGCTTCTTTCACTGAATCAGAGCAGTGGCAGATCTGTAAGATGTTCATTTTAAAGCTAATTTTATTTGCTGACACACTGTCACTATAGATATTAGTTGAAGCTGCTGACTGCAGTTTATTTGTTTGCATCAGTCTTTTGGTTATGTTCAGAGTAAAATGAAAAATACTGAGAAAGGCAGACCTGTGGTTGGTTAATTTAGAGGCCCAACCAGTGTATATTTTTTACATTTAATTTTTACTATTATTATTATTTACTTGTCGTTAAGAGTTTAAGAATGTGACATATATTAAAGTGAATATTTTCAGTTTTGTAGCCTATCAAAATTGAAACTAGAGGTTTTATTACTTGTGTGTTTAAAAGCACCAACATAGAAAACTGCAGGTCCTAGTCTTGACTTGTCTCAGCTAGCCAAAAAGCAGCTCTCCTAGAATTACAGGGCTTTGCAGAATGATGTTGTGATAGCAGTTGTCATTGGTGAAACATTACAGATGAAATGATAATTTGCTTTTAAACAAAAGATTGTGCATTACTTGCCTAATTTGATAAACTGCAAGGTCTTCATAATCTGCTCTTTACGTCTTCTACCAGGTTATATCATCCCCAGTCATGTGACGGAGGAGATGCTGTGGGAATGTAAACAGCTGGGAGCTCATTCTCCCTCGACGCTGCTCACAACTTTAATGTTCTTCAACACCAAGTGAGTTGAACAGTGTTTCCTTCAGGCATCACACTTGAATGAGTTTTCTATAGTGCTTACTCGACATGCAGCATTACTGTCTGTTATTTACCTCTTTACATAAGAGTGAATCCTCATTTGGACACATGTAATTCCCAATCCAAATATCAGCAGAAAAACAAATCTACACAAGACACTTTTATTCTCTCTCTTCTCTGCTTTTATGTGGTCACCAATCAACACACACTGACCAAATCTGTTAACATATATACTGTATATCTTTTTACAGGTATTTCCACCTGAAGACAGTGGATCAGCATCTAAAAGTGGCCTTTTCTAAAGTGCTGAGACACACCAGGAAGAGTCCCAACAACCCCAAAGACAAGAGCACCAGCATCCGATACCTTAAGTCAACAGAGAGGTTCATAGGACAGAAAGGTACGAGTGCTTCAGACCTAGAGTTTAACTGCTTTGGTTCAAATCAGGGACTAATTTTGTTACAAAGTTGCATAATTGCCTAGAGTTGGTTCGTTTTCTCACGGCAGCATTTACAAACAGACCAGATCAAATGCCTTGCGCGAGAAAGCTGCTCTTGATTGGTCAGAATTTCCATGTGGGAAAAATCCAAGAAGTAAACAAAGCGTTGAAGAAGAGTACACTTGCAAGATAAATGTGACACTTTCTAATGTCACAATGGAGGAACAACTACGCAGGTTGATTTTAGCGCTGCTCATCGTGGACTATATTGCTGTCATTGTTCATTTTAGTCAAACCATACAGTTTGAAAACGAGGCGCGGCTCCAACTAGAAAACAATGTTTTGATGCATTGGATGTGCTGAATGTGCATATTAAGGCAGTACAGGAGGAGGTGCACATTAATAATCCTCCAGGACT